CGTCTCCTGTGACGACGATGACGGCGTGTCCTCGTCTGAGGCTTGTTTCACGACGATGACCACCCCGCTGTCCGGTTGACTCATCTTCACCATGCTCCACGACTCAACCGTCTCGTTCTTCGGTTCTTCCGCTGCACGGCACAGAAGGGGCTGCTGTCGTCGGTGAGCGCTTTTCGTCGAAACGACACATTGTGGAAGACGGCCGCTTGTCGAGCAGTGAATGAGGCATTGTCAAGCAGCTGAGTAAACGGTTCTCGGGAGGCGGTACGCATGACCGGCCTGCCAGCCAATCACAATTCTACTACCAGATAACGTGCAGATACCGCAGATACGACTGCACGTCACATTAGTACCTCATTATTTCAGAACTGAAGTACAGAAGATGCTCGAGAACCGTCGCTCGATAAAATGCACTAATACTAAATACTCCAGCAATGTATCGGTGGACGGTGGACGTGTACAGCCGTAGGGGTAGTGCGGCATCGACGAGAAAACCGGTTGTTCCGTCTTCCCGTTTATCAGTGACTGACCGATCGATCGATCGAACAATGAGCGACGTCGGTAGATCGACTCTCGCTCGACAGAAGGAAACTGTCTAGAAGCGATCAGTGTACTGTGAGGATTTGACTCATCGTCCTTCAGCAGAGCCGTTTCAAAACTTCCGACGAATCTGTCATTCCTCAGCCCCCCTCCGTCACCAGCGGCGTTCGTTACTGAATGGTTTTCTCTTCACCGAACAACTGAAACACGTACCCTGGCTGCAGTGGAAAATTGTACGACCTGTGAAACAATCGGATGAGGCTGAACTTGCGTCGAGGCAGTGCCTGTTACAGTGCGATTAAACATTACACCTCAATTTGCATATTTCAGCCGACAAATAGTGACTGCGGTCTTGGATATGTAGGTCAGACGATCTTTCACGGAGAATTGGTAGATTCGGCCACTGGCGATGTTAACATAACTAATCTCGAATTCGTGTCAGGCCATGCACCTGCATACGGTTGCCCAATGCCTCAGAAAACCCAAGATGACGTTCTTAACGGTTTGCATTTAATTAGCCATAAGTGGCAGTTTTTCGTTGCCGTCGTCGTCTACCGCTGGCAAAGTTTGAACAGCCAGGTACATGTATTTATGAGAGAGAGAGAGAGAGATGTAACGTTGTAAACGTGCCTTAAACTCATATTTAACTCACAGTTGCGGCAGACACATGCTCTATTTTGTAGCAAGCAGAACTGCCTCTCCTTCAACGCTACAAAAGAAAAGTTTTCACCGCACTTCCTTCTCCGTTTAAATTACGTTGTCAAGCCAGGCCATACGCCGGTTCTTAGGTTCTTGTGTGTGTTTCTTCACAAGCTGCCAGCAATCGTCTGCTCGTTCATGATCTG